AGCCAGAGTTCTGTTTTGACCATGTTAAGGTTGAGGTGCCTATTGGACAGCCAAGGTGAAGTTTCAAGTTAGGCAATTAGGTAGATATATATGTTTTGGAACCTGTAAAGAAGTTGAGTCTGAAGATATACATTAGAGAGTCATTGACACGTTTTTCAAACTAAGGTTGCCATGAGATTAATCTAAAAGAAAGTGTGAAGATAGAGAAGCTGGTTCACCGTACAGCTCTGAGGTGGACCAATACTTAGAAGTTGAACAGAGGAGAATGGATTGGCCATGGAGACTGAAGAGAAGCTTCTGGTGAAACCAGGACAGTGAGTGAAGATACACCCACCCACCCACTCACCCACGTCCTGAGATCGGCTACATTAAAAGCTGCCGAAAGATCAATCAAATGAGATAATAAATATTGTCATAATTATGCTCACTGATAATTTTGACTAGAGCAATGGCTTTGGGGTGCTGTTACAGAAGATGGACTAGCAAGAGCCAGGGGAAAGTGTGGGGGCGAGGAAGAGACCACCACTCCAGACAGCTAAGCACTAGGTGCTCACATTCCGAGATGGTGGGCCATCCCATGATTACTTTCCCCAGGAGCCCACTTTTTCTACCTAGAGAAAAGTTTACTTTTATATGGTACACAGGCATTCTGTTATTCTATTTACCGTGTACAATCTGTTTTAGAGGAAGCAAAATTGCTAAAACTCAAGACATTTCATGAGCAGTTGAAAAAACATACTAATACTCACTAAGAGGGGACTCAGAACAACTCTTGAATGTGTGCAGAACTATTACAGGCACACCAAAAAGTTCACAGGTGGGCCGTGTGTGGCAGAAAGGATCGCTCACCTGTTGATATTAGTGTGGAGTAAGACTAAGTTCCTGTTTTTCTCAAAATCCTGAGCGACGTTAAAACTGCTTCTGTGTCTCATTGGGGACAAAATACCTCAGCCCTAGGTGCCACTCACTCTTCATGAGTTGTGGTTAGAATATCTGATGTTGTTGTAGCAATAACTAGGTAACCATGGCACAGAATAGTGCTGTCATGATCGAAATCCATAAATTTACTGTGCAAGTTTAAATTAGCAGTAATAAAAGGAATATGGTAAGGTTTTGAAGTGCTCAAATAATGTTACCCTTGATAAAAAGGGAAATACTTTCGCAAACTTCGCATGGAATCTATCCCTGCAAGCAGGTGTTTTAAATTTTCAGTGTTTTATCTTTGACTTCTTCCATGAAACGTGTCTTCAGTTGCTTTTAATGATGGCATTGGCAGAGGGGAAACATATTCTCATCTTATCATTCAGATTCTTTTCCACTGCAGTTTGGCCTTGTTGGCAATTCTTTGGTGTTAAATGATTTTAATTTTATGATGTAAGGCCTAATTTGCTTGTGAACATTCACATTGGTCCACGGATCTTGGCCTTGGATGAAGTATATACACATATAGATTCTATTACAAGTAATACTTGCAGACAATGCCAAAATTTTGGTGTTTATATAATGCTTTGTATTGTTAGTTCAGTTTAAGGAGCATGTCAAAACCTGTTATGAGGCTGACATTGTGCTAGGCACAGTACAGAAACTGTGATCTGTGCCTAAAGGAGCTTGTGGTCTAGTGGAGAAGGGGGCAGAACTGGTAAAATAAATTGTTTAAAGTAAGTGTGATCATGAATAAATGAAGTATGTGGGAGAAAGAAGTAGTGCAGAGGAGGGAGCCGTTGGTTCTGTGTGGTTGTGGGGTCACAGGATAAGATCAGAGGAGATTTTCATGAAGACATTGACAGCCGAATAAGATTTGAACCATGAGTAAGACTCCTGACGGGCAGCCACCCGGGGGCAGGGTAGAAGCGGCAACCTAGACTTGGAGGGCATAGGGTGACCCATGAAAAACCACTGGGGGTCCGTGACCTGCAAGGTTTTTGGCCCTAACCGCATGTGGGCTGTGATTGAAATCACTCCATTTGATGAAAATGATCTAAAGCAACGTGAAATTGAGGGGATGTCAATGGAGTTGAAGAGTTGGAGTATTCAAGGGTGCAGAGTATTGGTATTGAAGTTACTCATCACATGGTACTGAAGTGACTCAGATGGTTACATACAGGGTTGGTCAGATTTCCTTTAAAATGAAGTAGAGGAGAAAAATCAAAGAAGAGCCTGAGGATTCCTTGGAATTAATTGTATCAAAACCAGGGTGTGAGTATGCCCAGGAGATGATGTTGGAAGACAGAACTTAATACTGAGCATGGTGGGTGCCGATCCATGGCTGTAGGGGTGCACAGAGCAGGAGGGGAGTCAACATGTGAGAAAGAGATGAAACTGCCGGGACTTGTGTTTTGTCTTACATTTCAATAAATCCTAATTGAGGACTTAGTGTGTGCAGTGCGCCATGCTTATTCTTGGGAAACAAACTCCTAAGATAGGAAAGGAGCTACAGGGTGTGACTGTGGAAGGGGAGACAGCTCTTGTCTCTGTGATGGTCTCTCTCCATGGGATGCCAAACCCTCAAGAGCAGCGCTTTCCTATTTTCCAGAGTGACTAGTATGCAGTAGATCTTAATGCATGTTCACCCATCAATCAAATGAATAGTACCTATTCATTAAAAGTTTCTATTTTGCATTATTCATTATCTATCGTCCATTGATTCAAGTATGACACCACAACATGCAGCTATTTATTATGTTTTCACGTAACATTTAGTGTCCTGAGAAATGCTCATGATACAGTTTTAAAGTAAAAAATGATTTTAAAAATTACATGTATAATAAGATCCCAGTTTTGTGTGTGTGTGAGAGAGAGAGAGAGAGAGAGAGTGTGTGTGTGTGTGTGTGAGAGAGAGAGAGAGAGAGAGAGAGGGAGAGAGAGAGAGAGACATGGAGTGAGGGAGGAAAGGAAAGAATTGTCAAAATATTAGTGATGACTGTCTCTGGGTCATGAGATTAAAAAGACAATTATTTTCATCACCTTCCAAGTTTTCTAAAATGCATATAAACAATTTATAACCAAAGATATTTAAAATATTTTTTCTCTAAAAATTAATATTCTGCCCTTAATTTTATATAACATTTATAGTAAAAATGAAAATCCTAGTAGGTCTATCACAAAAGCCTTTCTCGCTGTGCTGCCTTTTTTTGATCACTGTTTATTCTTAAGGATTTCTTTCTGATGTTTATTATTTGGCTCTGTGCTGCTAATGGCAATAGCTTAAACATTTGGTTCCCTGATAAACAACATCCTTCCCCATACCTGCGGTGAACATTAAAACAAAGTCTTCATATTCTCTCTTTGTGTCACTGTGCACAGCACAGCTCTGAGCTTTGCTTATTTGTCTCTTTGCTGTTTATATCCTTATGGTCGTCATTTTCCATTCCAGTGCCCTTTCAATTTTATTTTATTTGTTATTATCAATTGTATTCTTCTTTTCTGGTAAAATGTTTCTTCTAAAACACATCTGCAAACCATTCATAGCTCTGCTTGGATATAGTTAAACATTTCATTGAATGTATTAAGACTATATTCCTTGGGTAGCTGTAGGCCTCTCTTTGTAGTCTCTGTGCAAGCAAGTACAGCATTTGGACACAAAATGTCATTCAAAAAGTCATGTGCATACGTCATAACTGTAGTCTATTGAGTTCAGCATCTGACTGTGATGGTTGTTTTCCAAGGTAATTTCAGAAGGTAGAAATGAATGTCACACATACTTATTTTTCTTCACTCTTTCCCTCCCTTCCTCTTGCCTTCCTTCTTTCCTTCATTCCTTCCTCACTGGGCTGTATATTTTCAGCTTCCATAATACTCTGCTATCACCCTTACTCATCATTCACCTGATCGGAGGTGTTTGTCTCCTCACTGGACTGGAAGCAACTCGAGGGAACAGTTCACATCTCATTCATGTCTTAGGCTGTCTCCTGGGTTCACCTCATGCCTTGCATAGAATTAGTCCTCACCAAGTGTAAAAATATATCTTACATTTAATTAAGAGTGACTTCATAGCTTTAGCAATATGAAAGATCTATATAAAACATGTCAAATAATTATGCTCTGGGCGACAAGCTTCCATTAAAGAGATAGAGGGGGTTTTAAGACCAAAGATAAAAATATATTTTCTAGACTGTAGGGTTAATCAAATATTGTAATACATTACCGGGGAAGGAGGTAAAATCTCCATCCCTGGAGAGCCTTAAAAATTGGACAGAGCAAACATCTGTGAGAATGGCTGAAGCACTAAACCTGTCTTGAGGCGAGTAGACAGACAGAATGACAAATGCTTCTGCGATTCTTTGATTACTTGGCCTGAAGAAGAGAAGGCTGAGGGGAGACATTAAACTACTTCAAATATGGAAAACAGCTATTATTGCTTTCCAGAGGAAAGCAAGTTGAAGGAGCTTAACCTCAAGTCAGAGATTTAGTTTACATTTTATAGTTAGGGATTTCAAGTCATAGGCTGTGAAAATCTTGTAGAGATCTGCAAAATAAATGACATTGATTTTTTGGTGAGATATGGAAAGTCAACTCTATGATTCTGCTGCAGTAAAAACACTTTTTATAATACTCTGAATAGAGAGAATTATTCCAATACATTATATTGAGTGTATAGCATTCTCTTGGGAAAGGTAAATTTCTAAAAGCAGTATTTTAAAGCACCAAGCATTTTCACTGTTTTGTGGATAGGACGGGGAACGGGGATTATAGCTGTGAATTTCTTCCCATCTCAATGCCTGAACAAGGGGCTATGTTAGTAAGTCAGTAGCCAAAGGGTGAACAGGAGCTTTGAGAGAGCTTTACCCTATGGGATCAGCCTTGTTTTGACCCCTGGATGTTTTCTCAATGAAAATGTGAAACAATTGGGGGTACGGTGGTAGTGGGGGGCACAAAAATACTATCAACTAAAACGTGAACCCAAATATCGATTAAAAATAAGTATTTGATTGTAATGTCTGAATTCAGCCACACGATGTCACAATTGGATTTTGATTTTCACTGTATGTTTGTCTCAATAGATGAAGGCATTTTCAAAGCTGGAGCAGAGAGGTCTGAAACACGGGGGGCAGCAGAAGTCCAAGAAGATGAAGATACTCAAATTGAGGTTCCGCTTGATCAGGTAATCTCCATGCCTAAATAATATGTATAAGCCAATTATCATTTTTTTTCTTTCAAGTTTTGTGTTATCTTCTACATACTGTTCCTATACCTGCATGAATTAAACCCTCTAAGATACTTTGTGGCTGATCAACCTTAAGAACATGACAAAACACCCTTCCATTCTTTATCCTAGTATTCTTGTGAAAAGTAGCCGCTTAGACCAAGTCTTTTTTGTAGAGTTGACGTTTCACCATGTTGGCCAGGATGGTCTCAAACTCCTGATTTCGTGATCCATCCACCTCAGCCTCCCAAAGTGCTGGGATTACAGGCATGAGCCACCATGCGCGGCCTAGACCAAGTCTTTTTTTTTAAATACAGAAAATGATATATCCTTAATAAAGAGCACTGAAGAACAAGATGGGATGGGATTAGGTATGAGATAAATAGTGATCAAGTTTGATACAAAAAAGGGTATTGTTTTGAGATTTTCATCTGGAAAAACGTCTTTACTTGCTTAGAAAAGAATTTTTAAAAATTATATTTTAAGTTCTGGGGTACATGTGTAGAATGTGCAGGTTTGTTACATAGGTATACATGTGCCATGGTGGTTTGCTGCACCCATTAGCCTGTCATCTACATTAGGTATTTCTCCTAAGGCTATTCCTCCCCAATCCCCCACCCGCTGACAGGCCCTGGTGTGTGATGTTCCCCTTGCTGTGTCCATGTGTTCTTATTGTTTAACTCACCTTTATGCATGAGAACATGTGGTGTTTGGTTTTCTGTTCCTGTGTTAGTTTACTGAGAATGATGGTTTCCAGCTTCATCCGTATCCCTGCAAAGGACGTGAATTCATTCTCTTTTATGGCTGCATAGTATTCCATGGTGTATATGTGCCACATTTTCCTTATCCAGTCTGTCCTTGATGGGTATTTGGGTTGGTTTCAAGTCTTTGCTATTGTGAACAGTGCTGCAATAAACATACATGTGCATGTGTCTTTCTAGTAGAATGATTTATAATCCTTTGGGTATATACCCAGTAATGAGATTGCTGGGTCAAATGATATTTCTGGTTCTAGATCCTTAGGAATCAACACACTGTCTTCCACAATGGTTGAACTAATTTACACTCCCACCAACAGTGTAAAAGAGTTCCTATTTCTCCACATCCTCTCTAGCAGCTGTTGTTTCCTGACATTGAAATGAGTGCCGTTCTAACTGGCATGAGATGGTATCTCGCTGTGTTTTTTATTTACATTTCTCTAATGACAAGTGATGATGAGCTTTATTTCATATGTTTGTTGGCTGCATACATGTTGTCTTTTGGGAAGGTTTTGTTCATATCCTTCGCATACTTTTTGATGGGGTGTTTTTGTTTTTTTCTTGTAAATTTGTTTAAGTTCCTTGTAGATTCTGCATATTAGCCCTTTGTCAGATGGACAGATTGCAAATATTTCTCCCATTCTGTAGGTTGCCTGTTCACTCTGATGTTAGTTTCTTTTGCTGTGCAGAAGCTCTTTAGTTTAATTCAATCCTATTTGTTAATGTTGGCATTCGTTGCCATTGCTTTCGGTGTTTAATTCATGAAGTCTTTGCCCATGCCTGTGTCCTGAATGGTATTTTCTAGGTTTTCTTCTAGAGTTTTTATGGTTTTAGGTCTTAAGTCTTTAATCCATCTTGAGTTAATTTTTGTCTAAGCTGTAAGGAAGAGGTCCAGTTTGAGTTTTCTGCATATGGCTAGCCAGTTTTCCCAACACCATTTATTAGACAGGGAATCCTTTCTCCATTGCTTGATTTTGTCAGGTTTATCAAAGATCTGATGGTTGTAGATGTATGTGTGTGTGATTTCTGTGGCCTCTGTTCTGTTTCATTTTCTGTATATCTGTTTTGGTACCAGTATCATGCTGTTTTGGTTACTGTAGCCTTGTAGTATAGTTTGAAGTCAGATAGTGTGATGCCACCAGCTTTGTTCTTTTTGCTTGGGATTATCTTGGCTATATGGGCTCTTTTTGGTTCCACTTGAAATTTAAAGTAGTTTTTTTCTAATTCTGTGAAGAAAGTTCAATGGTAGCTTGATGGGAATAGCATTGAATCTATAAATTGTTTTGGGTAATATGGACATTTTCACAATATTAATTCTTTCTATCCATGAGCATGGAATGTTTTTCCATTTGTTTGTGTCCTCTCTTATTTCCTTGATCAATGGTTTGTAGTTTTTGAAGACATCCTTCACATCCCTTGTAAGTTGTATTCTTAGATATTTTATTTTCTTTGTAGCAGTTGTGAATGGGAGTTCACTCATGATTTGTTTCTCTGTCTGTCTATTACTGGTGTATAGGAATGCCCGTAATTTTTGCACATTGATTTTGTATCCTGAGACTTTGCTGAATTACTTATCAGCTTAAGGAGATTTTGGACTGAGATGATGGGGTTTTCTAAATACACATTTATGTCATCTGCAAACAGAGACAATTTGACTTCCTCTCTTCCTGTTTGAATACCCTTTATTTCTTTCTCTTGCCTGCCTGCCCTGGCCCGAACTTTCAATACTATGTTGAATAGGAGTGGTGAGAGAGGGCATCTTTGTCTTGTGCCAGTTTTCAAAGGGAATGCCTCCAGCTTTTGCCCATTCAATATGATACTGGTTGTGGGTTTGTCATAAATAGCTCTTATTATTTTGAGATCGTTCCATTAATATGTAGTTTATTGAGGTTTTTTTTTTTTGTATAAAGGGATGTTGAATTTTATTGAAGGTCTTTTCTGCATCTACTTAGATAATCATGTGGCTTTTATCATTGGTTCTGTTTATGTGATGGATTACATTTATAGATTTGCGTATGTCAAACCAGCCTTGCATCCTAGCGAGAAAGCCAACTTCATCGTCACGGATAAGCTTTGGTTGTGCTGCAGACTTTGATTTTCCAGTATTGTATTGAGGATTTTGCCATTGATGTTCATCACGACTATTGGTCTGAAATTTTCTTATTTTGTGTGTCTCTGCCAAGTTTTGTTATCAGAATGATGCTACCCTCATAAAATGAGTTAGGGAGGAGTCCCTCTTTTTCTCTTGTTTGGAATAGTTTCAGAAGGAATGGTACCAGGTCCTCTTTGTACCTCTAGTAGAATTTGGCTGTGAATCTGTCTGGTCCTGGACTGTTTTTGGTTGGTAGGCTATTAATTACTGCTTCAATTTTAGAACTTGTTATTGTTCAACTCAGGGATTCGACTTCTTCCTGGTTTAGTCTTGGGAAAGTGTATGTGTCCAGGAATGTATCCAATTTTTTCTAGATTTTCTAGTTTACTTGCGTAGAAGTGTTTACAGTATTCTCTGTTAGTAGTTTGTATTTCTGTGGGATCAGAGGTGATATCCCCTTTATCATTTTTTATTGTGTCTATTTGACACTTCTCCCTTTTCTTTAGTAGTATGGCTAGTGGTCTATTTTTGTTAATCTTTAAAAAAAAAACCCAGCTCCTGTATTCACTGGGTTTTTGAATGGTTTTTCATGTCTCTGTCTCCTTTAGTTTTGCTCTCTTCTTAGTTTTTTCTTGTCTTCTGCTAGCTTTTGAATTTGTTTGCTCTTGCTTCTCTGGTTCTTTTAACTGTGATGTTAGGGTGTTGATTTTAGATATTTCCTACTTTCTCCTGTAGGCATTTAGTGCTATAAATTTCCCTCTAAACACTGCTTTTGCTGCATCCCAGAGATTTTGGTACATTGTGGCCTGACTTTCATTGATTTTAAGGAACTTATTTATTTCTGCCTTAATTTCATTATTTACCCAGTAGTCATTCAGGAACAGGTTGTTCGGTTTCCATATAGTTGTGTGGTTTTTGGTGAGTTTCTTAATCCTGAGTTCTAATTTGATTGCACTGTGGTCTGAGAGATTATTATGATTTCCACTCCTTTGCATTTACTAAGGAGTGTTTTTCTTCCAATTACATGGTCAGTTTTAGAATAAGTGCAGTGTGGTGCTGAGAAGAATGTACATTCTGTTGATTTGGAGTGGAGGGTTCTGTAGATATCTATTAGGTCTGCTTGATGCAAAGCTGAGTGAGTTCAAGTCCTGGACATCCTTGTTAATTTTCTGTCCTGTTAGTCTGTCTAATTTGACAGTGGACTGTTACAGTCTCCCACTATTATTGTGTGGGAGTCTAAGTCTCTTTGTCTCTAAGAACTTGCTTTATGAATCTGGGTGCTCCTGTATTTGGTGCATATGTATATAGGATATTTGATTCATCTTGTTGCATTGATGCCTTTACTGCTGTGTAACGCCCTTCTTTGTCTTTTTAAATCTTTATTCGTTTTAAGTCTGTTTTATCAGAGAGTATGATTGCAACCCCTGCTTCTTTTTAATTTCCTTTTGCTTGGTAAATATTCCTCCATTCCTTTATTTTGAGCCTATGAGTGTCTTTGCACATGAGATGGGTCTCGTGACTACAGCACACTGATGATGGATCTTGACTCTTTAACCAATTTGCCAGTCTGTGTCTTTTAATTGGGGCATTTATGGTTAATATTGTTAGGTGCGCATTTGATCCAATCATTATAATGCTAGCTGGTTGTTTTGCTCTTTAGTTGATGCAGTTTTTTCATAGTGTCAAGCGTCTTTACAATTGGGTATGTTTTTTCAATGGCTGGTACCAGTTTTTCCTTTCCATGTTTAGTGCTTCCTTCAGGAGCTGTTGGAACAGAGGCCTGTGGCGACAGAATCTCTCAACATTTGCTTGTCTGTAAAGGATTTTATTTCTTCTTCACTTATGAAGCTTAGTTTGGCTGGATATGAAATTCTGGGTTGAAAATTCTTTCCTTTAAGAATGTTGAATATTGACCCCCACTCTCTTCTGGCTTGTAGGGTTTTGGCAGAGAGATCTGCTGTGAGTCTGATGGGCTTCCTTTTGTGGGTAATATGACCTTTCTGGTGGCCCTTAGCATTTTTTAACCTTCATTTCAACCTTGGTGAATCTCACGATTATGTGTCTTGGGGTTGCTCTTCTTGAAGAGTATCTTTGTCATATTCTCTGTA